ACACCATAACAACAATCAAGAAACACCCTATCAACTACCTAGGGTACCATGGCAACCAGCTAGCAACCACCTAAAATATGATCATATCCACCTGGCAACACCCTAGCAACCACCTGGAAATTGTTGCACAATCCCTGCTATTTCTTCAGGAAATAAACCGTTCAAAAGCTACTGAAGACCAAAATCTGAATATGTGAAAGTGCAACTTTACCGCTCACTAAACGTGGCTCTCCTTTCACATTGTGGTGACATTGTCTTAGTCCTGATTGACATAAAAAAGTGAGTTTGGGGTAAAGGTAGGGGGGGGGAGTAGACCTCCCTTTCTTAAATTATAAACCCTCCAAATCTGCAAGATTGACATGATTGATGTGAATGCAATACTCAGCGTTCAAAATGCTAATTCAGTTTTGCCTGAAGGCGAGTTTGCATGTATGTTCTTGAGTCTTAAGATCCATTACAAGCCCTGAACCTGTCAGTTCAATGCCACAGGATGTAATGAAGCTCCTTACGCTCTTTACAGCGAAGCAGTTTCAATAAGAAACATCTTAAAGATCACGTCTATAGCTGATTTCTGCCGTTTGTGCTAAAAGAGTTTTGCACCCTGACCTGTAAAAATTAAATTCCGAAGCTCAATCAGTTGTGCTCTCCGGGCACTTTGCCTGGATGAGTGAGAAAATTTGCCAGGTCAGAAGTCAGCGGAGCTCATGGCCCTCTGGGTCACGTCTCCTGCCCACGCTCGTGTACTTTTTTCTCTTTGCCTTTCTCACACCATTGTACAAAGACTATAAAGGGCCTTTTTCTGCATCTTTCTTGCATTTAGCTTCTTCCCCTGTAGTCGAATTGTGTAGTTTTACATACCAAAAACATGTTTAAAGGGGAATTTCAAAATTCCTGGTCGAGATATAAACAAAGTCATTCAGATTGGATTGATGTGGTGGTGATAGGATCCAGACGTCCTGATGTCTACTACACAATTAAAGCCAGTTTATTTACTATCCAAAATCACCAGTAAATCTACACATGCCTTATGAGTTTTTATATATACTGTTAAAAATGGTAAAGTAGTGGTCAATCTGAAAAAAAGTTTTCTTTGGGGACTACTTTGCCTTGCAACACCTTTCTTGTCTCATTCCACCATAAACTGATTAAAATAAATTGATTAAAAATGCATTTTAGACCAAAAATTTATCCCGTCTGAGACATGGTTTCGTAAACATTCCATGTAAAAACTTTTTGTGAAGGAGTTTTTAGAGACATTAAACTCTTCAGACGTCTGGTTCCTATCACCGCCACTGAGAACAATTCTGACTTGGCAAGTTTTTCTGGAATGAAGCATTTTTTTGCCAAACCATTCTGAATGATTTTGTTGACATGCTAACAATTTCATTGTGCAGAAATGTTGATAAACCAGTGGAATTTCTATCTGAGCAGTTTTCCAACCTCTCTTTATCTCTTACAATTGTGGACAGCCCTCCAAATTATTGAGTTCTGGGTGTTTTAGCCACACATATTACTAACAGGTGTATGAAATCAAGCACATAGCCATGCAATCTCCATAGACAAACACTGACAGTAGAGTGAAAAGCTCAGTGACTTTAAATGTGGCACTGTCATAGGATGCCACCTTCACCAGTTCATCAGTGTGTGAAATTTCGGCCCTGCTAGATCTGCCTTAGACAACTGTAAGTGCTATTATTATGAAATGAAATATCATAGCCATGCCGGGTTTAGACAGTGGTGTTACACCTGATGGTGAAAAGAACTGAAATGGTTGTTTAATAGTTGTTTGTTTGTTTCATTATTTAGTTTGTTATAGATGGGGACTGTTCTGTTTACTTTCATTCGTGGATTGCTGCGGCATATCCTAATTACTTAGCAGCCAAAGCTTTGCACATGCTACGCACTCCACACTCTACAGCTATGCTATGTCCATTTTCAAGCAAGACCACAGACAAAGGTAAGGAAAGTGACTGATGGGCTGTAGAAGAAAGTCCAGCTGAACAAGTCAAAACCTCAATCAAACCAGTAAGCGCTCATTTTCTTGGTGACAGAAAATGGCCTGATACGAAATAGGAAACCGGACAAGCCATTTGGGACTAAACTGGAATGTTGATTGCGAGCCAGGCCTTCTCCCACATCAGTGCCTGACCTCACAAATGCTCTTTGGACTGAATGGACAAAGTCCCACAGATACACTCCAAAACTGTTCGGAAAGCCTTCGCAGAAGAGTGGATGCTGTTACAGCTGCAAAGTGGGGCGACTACATATTCATGTCCATAATTTGGGATGGGATGTCCAACAAGCTCATGTAGGTGTCCACATACTTTTGGTCATATAACATATGTAAATGACCTCTTTTCTGAATGGCTGCCCTGTATTTTGGTTCATTCCATAAGTAGTCCGGACTGAAACATGGAACAAACAGACTGAAATCTTCAGAGAAGTGGGGGAAACAAGCTTCAGCCACTACTTTTGGACATGTGGATCCTTTGGAAGGCTGAAATGATCAGTTTGCTGACTGGCGGCCATGAACAGTGCAACGTTTGATCGTCTCTTCCACTCTAATAAATGCACAAACAACACTATCACGTCAATAAAAATGGGCGGGGCTGAACTGTATTTTACAGAATTTGAATTCCAGCTGACCTTTACGTTGGGTTAAAATTTCATAATGAAACGGACGAACAGAAGTGCTCCAAAATTATCTGGAAAAAAAATTCTTCCATAAACTTCCATTCAAATTTAAGAAGGTTTTTTCCTTCTCCTGAAAAATTAGCATGTCGGAGCTGCAACAGTGACGATATGTAAATATGTTCGTAGTTGTGACCTCACAACCATGATCTGGTATTTTTTTAAACTTTAACAATGTTTACATAGTACTTTAAATGCTTTTATTTCTTAAAATAAAGCAAGAAAATGTGTTTTTCACAATATGGGTCTATTAAACATAATAGATGATGATTCATGATTTAAAATAAACCCTTTAGGAAGAAAGAGAGAAAGATTTTAAGATGTTTATGCAGTAAAAAAGAACGACAAAACCTCCACATACTGGGCAAAAGATTCTTTTAATTTCAATTCTATACTACAAGTACTTACAATATTTACAGTAAAAAAGATCCAAGCAACACAAATCATTAAAATAAAGAATAAATGTTAATATTTCCAAACATCTTTTAGTATAATCTCGTCTTAGGGGGTCAATATGCCTCTGTTTGACTTCAGCACCTAATGGCATTGGATTCTGTATAATCATAAGTAATATTTTCTCATTAGTCCTTGGTTTGGGTTATGTTTCAATATTAAAATTTCTCATATTCTCATTCGCACGTCAAGAAGAAAAGAAAGATTCATTACGTATAAAGATCTATGCATATGCTATTTCATTTGAAGTCGTTTTTAGAGGTAGGCTATGGCTATGTTATCAGTAATACTGAATTAGGGATGAAGTCTTTAAGACAGTACTGAATAAGACTCGCTTTCGTTGCAAATAAAATAAGATTAAAAAAAGAATACGAGGAAAATGATCCAGTGCAAACGATAAAGAAGCAGTTGACGTGGTATCCAAGCAAAACTGAGATTTTAGACGGTCTAAATTTAGCGTCTTTTTTCATTGTTAGTAACTTTACACACTGCCTGTCAAAAGACTGGGGACGCCTAGCTTATCAAACAGGGTTTAATAAATTGGTTTTCCATTTGAACCTAACATAAAGACTAAACAAGCTTATTTGGAGGAAAACAATCATTATAAAGAATCCAAACCTGCTTCATACCAATGAATTTACTGTGAAGAGTAATATATGAATATAATGTTAATATACCTGAAGGATTAGCACATAGCTGTTTTACGCTAAGTAGCAGCGAGAAGGTTCGATTTCCCAAGGCGTCCCCAAACTTTTGGCCAACGTGCCAGTGTTATTTAAGGGAATGGTTCAGCAAAACGTCTAATGCACACAACTGTCCACTTACCTCAGATGTAGTCGATCAGCCCGGACAGGTTTGATGTCCAAATTTTGCTTCTTTAGTTTTACTGGAAATACTAGGCTGATGTTGCTAACACTAGAAGTCGATAGTCACCCAAATCTTTTCTGCAAATACATCGTCAAAACTTCTCTCAACCCACTGAAACTGCATCCAGGTCTTCAGTAACATGGCACAGGTGCAGTTTAGGATACAGTATGACTTACTGTAAGCTATAAAAACGAACAAACTTTACTGCGTAGCTGAACACAGCGGGCTTACGGACTTTCCACGAGGGTCCACTTTTGTGTGCACATTTGTGTAATTTTATGTACCAAATGTATATGTTTTACATTTTCATGACCAATTTTTAACCTCCCTTTATTGCTGTTTAGCAAGGTTTTTGCTACTGTGCCTTTAAGAATAAAATATGTAAATGAGCTCTGTTCTGATTGGCCATGCCTTGTTGAAAAGCAGTCCAGGGCTCCTAAATTTAGCATGAGTGGGTGGGGATAAACTGCTGTAGGCCGGATAGGCGGATGTAACAAAACACATTGTCTTTAGTGACATCACAAAAACACTGAATTCAAAACGGGCCACCTTATATGGACAGTGGTGGTGATAGGAACCAGGGGTCACCATGACTACAACACAAATATAGCCATTTTATTTACTATCCAAAACCACCAATGAATAAAAATAAACCATTTTAGCCAAAAACATCTCAAAACTATCATCAAACAAAGACATCAAATTCATAACCATTTCATGTAATCACTTTCTGTGAAGGAGCTTTTAGAGGTGGACATCGGGTTCCTATCACCACCACTGTGAACAGTTCTGACTCTCTGAGTTTCTCTAGAACAGAACACTTTACATCAAACCACTCTGAACAACTGTACATCGTAAACATTTGAGCTGAACTGAAGAGCTGGATGCAGTTTGAGTGGGTTGAGAGAAGTTTTGAGGATGTATTTATTTACAGAAACGATTTGGGTGACTATTGACTTCCAGTGTTAGCAATGCTAGCGTCTTAGATCCAGCGCTAAACTAAAGATGCAATCTTCGGACCAAACATGTCTTGGCTGATCGACCACATCTGGGGTAAACTGGAAATCATGTACATTGGATTTCTAACCAAACCATTCTGTCGAGACACGTACGGTCAGCTTGACCGATGCCTTTTTGGAAAGATTTTTCCTTATGGAGTCATTTTACTTGGACAGATAGTGGTAGAAAATGAAAAATGCGCACCGGTCAGACACTCATGCACTTTCATAACAGAAGAAAATGTTCCAAGCGTTTTCCAAAGGGCCTCCACTGTCCGTCGTCGCTTTGAGAAAGGGCGGCGCGTCCCACCGGCCGCAGAGCTGGCCGTGTTTTATTGCTAATCCGCCGACGTAGAGAGACACACAGCGAAATCAGGAGAAGTACACGAGGTGCTGCTCAGCAGTGGACCAGACAGTTGGCATTGGGTGAACTCTCATAAAAAAACGTAACTCTGTTCGTTTACGTTAGACGAGTGATCCGGCCCGGCTCTGGGCGGGCACCATGACAGGCACGGCGCCCATGCGCTCCAGCGTGGCCTGGCTCACGGCGTACGAATGCGTGTGTGTGTGCGGGCCGTGGGACGTCCCAGGCGCCGTGGTGACGGTCGCCGGCGGTCTCAGGCTGAGGGAGCCGTTGCTGCGGGTCATGGCGGGCGGGGACGGCGCGGAATTGGTGGTGACCACCAGAGTTTTGGGTGGCGGCAAGGTGTGGCTGCCGTTGGCGTAGGTGGGGCCACGGGAGGGGGCAGTGCCGGCGGTGCTGTGCCCGCCCCCTCCGGCTGTAAAGGTCTGGCGCGTGTCGCCGTTGTAGCGCGTGTAGGAGTTGGTGTCGTAGTTGGGCTTGGGGTTGTGCCAGTAGCGACTGTTGTACGTGTTGGTGGAGGTCAGCGTGTCGTTCTCCGAGGACGAGGCGTCCGCGTGGAAGGCTTTCACTGAAGAAGACCGCTTAGGAGGAAGGTCGTCCTCTCTGAGGAATGAACAGACAGAGATTCCCTCTACGTAAGTTCCGCTCCCAAGAAAAAACACAATCAATAAAAAAGCTTAATAGCATTTTGAGGAATTCTCTCTTACGTTGGTGACCATTACGTACAGCTAGACGAGTGCTGACCTCAAAAAAGCCAGAGGCTGCATGTTATATGTAACAAAGTTTGGCAACAAATCAACTGAGTGACCATTCAGTCCTTCACCTGATCTCGTTGGGGATTTCGTCCTCTTCGTATCTGTTCTTATTCCTCCAGTAGAAGAGACTGACCACCACCAGCAGCGAGCAGATCACCACGGCCAGAACGGCAGTGGCGATGGTTCCGGCAATGAGGCCCACACTCTGAGGCTGAGCTGCAGATCAGAGAGCAAGAGAGAAAAGAGAGAGAGAGAGACCGAGAGACAAAGTGTCACTGATGCAAAGTGCTGATCTTATGAAGCATCCAAAGCTATTGGACTGCTAATGGCGCCCCCTTGTGGAGGACTGCCTACTGTCAGGTTTCCCTGAATAGCTTTTGCTGTTTGTGTCTGCAGTCAGGCTACAAACACATATAAATATGTATATTAATACCATAAAAAGTTCCTCGTGACGATGCAGGTTTGTTGGGACCTTTACTGCTTCACACACTTTACCATAAAGTCTAGACATTTTATTTTGATAACGATAAAAATATGATTTATTGTGCAGCAGTGATGGGCTCCTGATCCAAATGCCAGCTCATAATTACACACATCAGAAACCCCACAAGACCGACATCAAACTGGCCCCTGAAATGACCTCATAACTTTCCTCTATACTGCCAGTGTTTTATTGTATTTCCTGTTGTATTGAATCTTTTCCCAAATAATACAGCTGGACCCCTGCTGGACACAACAAATGGACCACGATTTCAACTTTCTTTTAACCGTCATGTTGTGTTAAGGCTTTACTTCCTCATGGTTTGGGGTCCGAGAGACCCCAGTGATGGAAGTGTGAGAATTATTTTGTTTTTTTCTTAAACGTTTGTTTTCTTTCTTTGTATCTACTTAAACTCAGTAGACGGAAATGATTGAAGTCCCTTGTGTGACAGCAGGGGTGCGCATTTGAGTAAAGCACAGACAGGACAGGTGGTCCGGAGTCTACAGTACCCTTAACATAACACGAGGGAATTCAATTCAATACTTGACGAAAGAAGGTGAGATTAGCAAATGATATTATTATTATGTGGCTCCATAAACAGACACGTCTACTGTCAGAAGTGTTTTTCTTTCATTTTTGTGGAAATTTATATCATTCACATTTTATTAATTAATAATAACGAAAACACCAAAACCATAACAAAACACATTTAGAATTATTCAGTGACAGTTACTGGATTGTGTTTATTTTAATTTTTTTAATTCGTTTTTAAATATTTATTTTCAAAATATTATTTTATGTAATTTTAAATTTATCATTTTTTACATTTAAGGTATTCTCTTTTTTTAAAATGTTAATCTTTCAATTTTTTAAATTATTTGTTGGAGTGGCATAAAAAAATATTTACATTCAAAATGTTTTTTGGCAATGAATTCATACATGCAGACATATGCAAAAGTCTGAACACCCCTGAACACAGTTTCTATTTATTTACTGAGTTTGACATAAATAAAACCTAACTTTTTTGATTTTTCTTTGATTTGTTTATTTCAGTAAATTGTGCATTACAGTAATAGTGTGTAGATGTGAGTTCTCTGTAGTGAATGCATTAACTTATTTATACTTAGAAAATCAACCAAACATCATGTGACCAGGGGTGTTCAAACTTTTTCACAGGACTGTAGGTATGAACTTCACTAGACTTGTCTTGAAACATGCTGATGTAAACGTGTGTAAGACTGTATAAATGTGTAGGTGTATGTAAAGTATCGACTGGCTCGTGAGCCTGACAGCTGATGACCGGCTGGAACTCACGCGTCACCACTTGCAGGTTGAGCAGGCAGGTGCTCTTGCCGATGGCGTTGGATGCCGTGCACTGGTACAGACCGGACGTGGTGGTGCTGATGTTCCGTAACGTCACCGTGCCCTGCATCTGATCTGAAAACAAAACAACCACCACGTGCATCAGTGTCCTGCACCTATTTATAAACCACAGTGAAGTTATTCTGTTTACAGCTCCGCTGTAAGACCTTACAAATTAGACCTTACAAATTAGAAAAAAAAGAAGATTACTGAGGTCTCAGCAATGTGATGCTAACCCTGTTGAATGAACCCAGAAAGAATTTCTAATGAAATTTTTCCAGAATTAATTTTTAACAGAATTAATGTCGAGTTAAATAAAATTTATAATCAGAATTGAGTTATAACAACAAAATATTTGGAATTATTTTCTAATAAATTTAATACCCAGAATGAAGTTCTAATGAGAATTTTCCAAAACAATTAATATCCAGAATTAATTTCTAACATTATTCATAGCGAGTTTTAATAAAATTAATAACCAGAATTGAGTTATAACAATATAATTTAGAATTCATTTCTAATAAAATTAATAATCAGAATAAAGTTCTAACAGAATTAATAGAAAGAAGTATTATAAAAAAATAATCATCAGAATGAACTAAAAAATGTAACAAAATTAATATTCAGAATTGACTTCTAATAAAATTATTTTCTCATATAATTATTGTCCAGAAATAATTTCTAAAATCAACATCAAGAATTAAGTATCAATAAAATTAAGAACCAAATTTGAGTTGTAATAACATTAACATTCATAAAGAAGTTCTAATACACTTAATATTCACAATTAATTTACAATAACATTAATAATCAGTTTATTTCTAACAAAATTAAAATCCAGAAAAACAATATAATAAAATTAATACCCAGAATGTCTCACATTTCAAAAATACAAATGACTCTAAGCATACATTACAGAATTTTATTTAATAGCTTCTTTTCCACAAAATATCTGAAATATTCAAAACATCTTGGTGTCACAATATTTATGCCTTTTAATATTTTTTGCATAGTTTATTATTTAAAGTATTACTCTTTAAAATAAAAACAAAAATATTCACATGACAAAATTTGAGCGCTAGTGTATATGAACTGATACAGGAAAGTACAAATGCTACTTTTGTGAGCTCATAGGTCTACAATACAGCAACACTGATAACTCAATAATTAAACAATTATTAATTTAATAAATAATTAAAGCAATAATTCAATGATTAAAAATGGAAAATGCACAATATATATGCCAACATTATGGAGGCTGTCTGGAATTCTGCTGTTCCAGTTTTACTGCAGTTCCTAAAAGGGGCCACTAGATGGCACCATAGTATAACATATGACACACAGTAAAGCAGCCTGAACTGCCTCATTCAGTAAAGCTCTGAATGAGAAATATCACCAATACATTACAGTGACGTCATGATGATCGGTGTGTATTTGAGAGCTGCTTTTAGAAGAAGGCCACCACACAGTCCTCCACCACCTTCAGTTTCCAGCTCTCATAATTACATACAGGTAATTTGCTGATGCCCAGGGGGAAATTTGGGAATTAAATCAATTAAATCAATTAAGCTGAGCAGGTGGAAGGGGTGAAACAGAGGCCAGAGACTATTCTGGAAAGTTTTGCAGCCTTGTTTTAAAGCAGCGTGTGGGTTTGGAAGCAAACTGCACCAGCATTAAAGGTATAGTTTGGCAAAAAAAAATAAAAAATAGATCAGCCAAGAAAAGTTTAATGTCTGAATTTTGCTTCTTTAGTTTTGCACTGGAGCTGCGAGCCTAATGTAGCTAATGAGTAAATGGATGCTGAAGAACACTAATTAGCATTGTGCTAACTGCATGAACTCCATCCAAATCACAACTGTCCGAAGTGAGGCTGAAGTTGACTCTGGTGCCTTGACCCCCATATAAGCTCACCCAATTTTATACTTCTTTGTTTAAAAACTTGAATAAAACTTTGATAAAATAAAAATTAAAAGCTAAGCTGTCACTACATCAAAGGAAATATAGGCCTAAATTTTTTATTATAAGAACTACAAATAAAAATAATGCACTTTAGTCCTATTTATGGTTGTGTGCAAAAGTTTAGGCACCCCTGCTCGAACTCCATGTCGTTGTTGATTTTTTTGTTGATATAATTGTGCATTTATAGACGTGTTCTATGTAGAGGATGTTCACTTCTTTTCACTTCATTAGATCAGCTGGCCTTCATACATGCTGTGTTTAATGAGATTATCTTTGATATGTTCATATTTAAAAAAACATATATATTTTTTTTTTTATGTAAAAAGTGTGTAAGGCAATAATGTTCGAAGGTGCCATAACTTTTGCACAAATCAAAGAGTGAAATCTCTTAAAACACAACATGTGTAAGTACCAGTTGGTTTAATGAAGCTCTGGAAAAAACACTGGAGCCTACACATGCTTCTTCCAGGTAATAATGCAAAAATATTGATCTTCATAGTTGCTTTCGATGGGGGTCTATAGGGGGCGCTAGAAGCTTTGTTCTCCCCTCTGCAGTCTGCAGCACTCTAAAAATGAGAATATGCTGCTTTGTCAGTCATTCTCATTGGCTACTGGAGCCAAAGTGATAACACTGATGAAGTGAATTGCAAGATTTCATAAGCTCATGCATGTAAATGCTGAACTAACAGAAAAACAATAAAAATGTACCTGAAACTAATGAGGCTGTGCAGCCTAGTTTTGCTACCATTATAAGTTTGCCATGAGAAAGTTGAGGAAAAATCATTCAGTGCTCGGGTTTATTTCTGTGCATCTGCCCTGTGACGGACTGGCGACCTGTCCAGGGTATTTCCTGCCTTCCGCCAAATGAGCGCTGGGATAGACTCCAGCACCCTCCATGACCAAGAGGATAAGCAGCTTAGAAGACGAATGAATAAATGAATGGAATATTTGCACCTTTTCATAATCTAATGTTACCTGACTATAGGTACTGAGATGTACCCTTGAGGGTACCACCCCAGAGACAAGAGGGTACCACCCCAGGTACAAGAGGCTATCACCCCAGGTACAAGAGGCTAACACCCCATGTACAAGACAGTACCACCCCAAGGAAAAAGAGGGTACCAGCACAGGGACAAGAGGGTAACACTCCAGGTTCAAGAGGGTACCACCCCAGGGACAAAAGGCTACCACCCCAGGTACAGGAGGCTACCACCCCAGGTACAGGACAGTACCACCCCAGGTACAAGAGGGTACCAGCACAGGGACAAGAGGGTACCACCCCAGGTACAAGAGGGTACCACCCCATGGGGACAAAAGGGTACCACCCCAGGGACAAGAGGGTACCACCCCATGGGGACAAGAGGGTACCACCCCATGGGGACAAGAGGGTACCACCCCCGGACAGTTTAGTATTTATTTTATTATTATTATTATTATTATTATTATTACTGTCATTATTTTATAAGTGCCATCAAGTCGATTCTGACCCCTGATGACCATATGGACAGCAGTTCTCCAGAACAGGGGTACCCAATCCTGGTCCTGGAGATCCACCACCCTGCACAGCTTGGTCCCCTAATCAAAAACACCTAATCCAATTAATGAAGGCCTTCAGGAGCATCTGAACATTAGAGCCAGGTGTGTTGGATCTGAACTCTCCAGGGTGGTAGATCTCCAGAACCAGGATTGAGCACCCCTGCTCCAGAACATCCTGTCTCTGTTTGGAGAATGGCAGGTCCATGATTGCTCTGATTATCGCCATCCATCTTGTAGCTGGTCTTCCTCTTCTTCATTTACCTTCCGAGCATAACGGTCTTTTTCAGTGAACCGGTTCTTCTCAGAATGTGTCCTAAATAAGAACCTCAAGAGTGACCATTTATTATCTTTCTTTGTATCCACAGTGATTTCAGTATTCAAACACTGGCACCTTGAATGGTTAATGGAGCACTCATGCACATCCCTACTGGCCTCAGTGCAAAACTAATGAAACACTACATCTGAGGTAAGAGAACCGAACTGTGCCTTTAATCTGGGAGAGAGAAGGAGAACAGAACACCGCACAGGAACACAGACGCACTCGGGGCGGAGCAGGAGGGGCGGGCCACTCCACGGGGCAGCTCAGAGGAGCCGAAGAGCAGATTTACCAGCGAAGGTGGGGCAGAAGGGCACTCCTACTGCCAGGGGTTTAGTACCTTGCATGGCGGTGTGAGGCAGTTTGGGGATGGACTCAAGCTTCTCCCATGAGTAGGTGGGCGTCGGGATTCCCTCCTCAGAGCCGCACAGCAGCATCACGTCACTGCCCACGTCCAGAGACCCCTGCACTCGACACGACGGCACTGAGGGGGGCACTGAGAGAGAGAGAGAGAGAGAGAGAGAGAGAGATAGACAGACAGACAAAAAGAGAGAGCAAGGGAGAGACAGAGACAGAAAGAGAGAGAGAGAGAGAGAGAGAGAGAGAGAGAGAGAGAGAGAGACAAACAAAGAGAGAGATGGCGAAAGAAAGCGAAAGGGAGAGAGAAAGAAGGAGAAAGAGATGAGAGAGAAAGAGAGAGAGAGAGAGAGAGAGAGAGAGAAAGAGAGACACACAAAGAGGGAGGGAGAGAGAAAGGGAAAGAGAGAGGGAGGGAGAGAGAGGGAGAGAGAGGGAGAGAGAGACACAGAAAGTGAGAAAGGGAGAGAGAAAGGGGAAGAGAGAGAGAAAGAGACAGGGAGGGAAAGAGAGACACAAAAAGAGACAGCAAAAAGGGGGAGAGAGGGAGAGAGAGACAGAGAGAGACAGAAAGAGAAAGACACACAGAGAGAAAGAGAGAGAGAGTACAAATTTGTTTACATCTAAAAACAACAAATATTGACCAAAGTGCTGGTCACTGAATAAATGAAATAAGCAATAATTCATAATAATTAAATAAAAACACATTATTATTATTATTATTATTATTATTATTATTATAAGATTTGTACTTTTCTATATTTGTTACATTTTATTTTTATTATTTATTTACAGTTATTTTACTGTTTTTTGCTTTATATATATATATATATATATATAGAGAGAGAGAGAGAGAGAGAGAGATGAATAGAGGGAACAGTAGGGCTGAAAAACGCTGATTTATTCTGTTTACTGTTATTCTGTTTAACGCTGAGCTATTCTGTTTATTCACCTGGTGGTTAATGCAGTTACTCGTACAGACAGTAGATGGCACTGCAGTACAAATAAATCTACAGACAAAAGCTCTTCACAACATGCTTCTTACATTCGTTTGGTTTTAAACTTCAGTGAAATGAGCTCAGGTGTGATAAAATGTCTGAACCTGTCTTTAGAAGGTCAGAGCAGAGATCCATCAAGGGGGTCATAAACAATGCAATGGAGGGGTGGACGACAATCTTACCTTTCCAGAATGTGTGAGAACAAACTGGGCTGAACAGACAAACTGTACCATCTCTTAAGTGAACTGACTGTAAAAAAATGTCACAATACACTCAAAAATCTGTAGTTTCTCCCAGTTAATTCCTTATTTTTTGCAAACAGAAAAGTAATGCTGTAATTTATCTTTAAATAAATTTATAATTCATCATTTTATTGCGATGGTAAATTCTTATTAGGCCTTATTGTAGCATTAATATCATTTTGCAACATGAAGACTGAAAGTAAGTGCTACCCTTTTACACAGAGCATTATTCTTAGTGTATTCTTTATTTATTGTTTATTATCAGTTACCTAAACAGTCTGTTTATTAAAATCAAACATCACTCTAGCATCAGCAGCAAAGGCCTGAATTCTGAACAGTTGCAACTTAGATGGCAATGTGCTCTTATTACTCTCTACAAAGATTGAGAGAAGAAGTCTAGCCATTCACTTACAGCACAAACCAGAGGGACAATTAGCAGAGTTATCTAGTATTAGGAAAGATATGTTATAATTATTGATAAATATTAATACTGAATGAGGATGAGGGAGTGAGTAAGAATAAATTGTGATCAGTTTTTCGGCTACGTCGTCCTACTCCTTACCGAGCACGGTCAGTCCGATGACGCCGATGTTGCGGCCTCCTCGGTCGGGCAGGTTGTTGACCAGGCACTGGTAGGTACCCGTGTCCGACAGCTGCGTGTTGTTGATGAAGATTGAGGCACTTGTGCTGGGCATAGTGGCCACGAAGCCTACCCGCCCGTTCATGTGATTGGCTAAACTGAACACCTGACCGCCCTGGTAGATGATCACCTGAAGAAAGAAGAGGAAAAAGAAGAAACAGAGTGATGACCAGGAAGTTTTTCATCAACAGCCCAAATGTGTAGGGTGTCTGAAGTTTGCTTCTTGAGCTTTGCACTGGAGTCACAAAGCTAATGTAGCTAACAAGTAAAGGAAGCTTATATCCCACCAATTAGCATCGTGCTAACTGCATCAAGTGATGCTTGCTCTACAGTTTTACGCTGGGCTTTGCTCTACACAAAGCCAGTCTCTCTCAAGCGTAAACAAGCATCGGTTTGAGAATTCATTACTAGAAGGACAATTTTAATACCAAGGTATTCAGTCCAGTCCGTGGAGACGCCTCTGTTGGTCCAGATTTTCTGTTCTTTTCAAGTTCTAATCACGCCTGAGGTAATGCAGGATGGCACCATGGTAATTACTTGGCTTGGCTGCATTTGGAACCGGAACAGAACTGGCTGGGGGTCCCAGAGGTGCTGATTAAGAACCACCTTCATTATTATACCCATTTGAAGCAATTTAGAAGAAGAGCTCCTACCTCCGAGGTAAAAATACAACTGGCATTTGCTGTGGTGCACTTACAAGCGTTAACCACAAGAGGCCACTGTTTACACCGATTCTTGAAAAACAAAAGCAGTCATGAAATCCGGATGAAGCGCAATGTAATCAATGAACTCTCCTCTGATTCTGTGAAAGGGTAATAAATGCTCCGCTTATCTGTTTCGATCGTGAAATGTGGTGCCCTGAGTTGCATACAAATCGCTTGAAGAAGCAGCTGTTCTCTCTCGCTCTCTCGTTGTGAATTAATTTTTTATCATCTCCTAAACTTTTCACACTAATTTCACAATAATTTCTGCATATTAAATGAAATCCCACCCAAACATGAACCCGAGCTGAAGTGGAAACATCTGCTCTTTACAGCTGGAGAACAAAGTTGGGTGCAAAGCTCTTTGAAACGCTCTTCAAACTCTAGCTGAACCCTCTTCTCAGTGGAGGCTCCATGGAGCGTTCAGTGATGTACGAACTGCTTTACGTCTGATCTGGGAAATTTTCGCACAACATGGAAATGAGCGGAGATTTGAGCGCAGATGATGAATCAGCTTCAGTGCGTGAAATCAAGCGCCAGCCTACCAGCACCATCATTTATTTGAATGCAGATGTTTTGGTATGGTGGGAATACAGTGACAGCATTCGGCAGCTCATGAGCCAATGGCTGGGCTCGTGGGCGGTCTCACTGCTCCCCCTACTGACCAATCTTTATAGTGGTAAAATTATGACCACTGGAAAGAATATAATGAAAAATAAACAAAACAACATTCTTATTATTGCTATTATTGATGACACTAATAATAATTTTGGTTAGTTAACCGTGAATCAGACATTTCATAACATTCAGGTTGTTAATCATTCACGCTTAAATGTACACACAGTCACAGACTGTGCAACCTTGTAACAAAATAACAAAAGTGTCGGTGAATTTGCATACATTCATATTACGATCAGATTTGACCGTACCGATGTGTAATGACATGAATAAAGTGTGTCCTTTGAATGACTTTCCAGTGGCCAATAAAGGTCAGATGTATTTTGGCTGGATGCTACTTTTTTGGTGTAAACTAGGTGGTGCTAATCTTGGCTAGCCCTCACACCAGCAGTATCATTACCAATGCCAAGGCTGATGTGGCTCCTCCCACCAAACAGCTGTACAAACTGTGTTCCCAAATGATCTCTCTGTATTCAAGTCTGAGGAACTTTCAGAGAGAACGCTAACCACCAAGCCAAAGCTACCCAAGCAAACATAACACAGAGTACCAAGCTCACTCAACCGTTTGCCTGTCCTCCATCTGTTCATCTGTCTGTTTGTCCGTCCATCCGGTTGCTTCTTCTCTTTAAATGACGCACATATAAGTGACCTGAGACTGTTAAATAAACATGAGCGAGCTCCAAAGTCACGTCCACCAGTCTTTAATTCAGCTATTGATGCCTGTCGGAAACTCACTACTTCACCCTTCTGAACCATCAGGATAATCAAGCTGTACTTAAAAATGCTGACAGTTTTCCTGGGAAACCCACAGCAGGTGATACATTAGGAAGTTTACTGTAGACTAATGTCTTATAAAGGGAAATATTATTAAATATTACTACTAAACTACTGGAATTCAATTAGATCAGTTCTATCAGTTCTCTTTCCTAACAATGCCAAGCAATCTCTGCCTTTGAGGCATCGTCATCAGGTCTCCGACATCCGATTACATCACCCTATCGTATCGGGTTGGTCCTTGCCCTGGGCAGAGGTAGGGAGTCGTCTAGATCCCCCATGAGGGCCCCATTAAAATACACATTAGATACACTGCAAAAAATAATATCTTGTCAAGTGAAATGATCTTAATTCTAGTTGGTGTATCTAATATTTCTTATTTTGAGATGGTTGTGCACTTATTATAAGATTATCTAGCTTATTTCTAGACATATATCTGCCAATTTAGTGAGATAATGTTTCTTAATAAAATCACTTAAAACAAGCAAGAATGTTCGGAAATAAATTAAACAATCGTAAAATAAGCTTAGAGCAATCTCAACAAGAGAAACACTAGATTTTTATTTTACTAGATTTAAGATATTTTTACTTCACAAGATACCATTTTTTTGCAGTGTGTACATGTTTATGTTAAATAATTTATCCCAAAAGATAGATACAATAAAAAAAATAGCTGTTTTTTTTTAAACTAAATTATTTCTATTTACTTTATTTATTGTTATTATATTATCTATTCGTTTTATTTTAGTAGTTTTATTACATGAACTGTTCTTACTATATTGGCAGATTACTTTGCTTGTTTAAAACAAATGGCCCAAATCATAGAAAAACCAAAATATCCTTGCTTTTTAGGAAATAAACGACACTTAAAAGTCCATATATGGAAACAAACCTCAAAAAAAACAAAACAAAAAAAAAACAGTCTAAATTCAGTTTTTTTTTTTCAACATTTTGAAGCGCAAATTCATCCTACAGCACTTTAAAGCAGGCCTCAGGTGTGGCTGAAACACCTGAATTCAACAATTAAGAGGGGTGTCCACATACTTATGGTCATATAGTGTATGTGCCCTTTCGTTTTATATTAAATGTATTACTATAACAATCTGAATTAATAAATATATCGGCCATTTCGATTTAAGACCATTTCACTTTTTTACGATAGCATGGCTGCAGTTTTTAACTAAACCATTTTAAGAATGTGGGCCCCAGTTGGACCCCTGGAGCCCCAGAATCACTAAATCTGCCCTTGACTGTCATTTAAAGGCATATAAATTGTGTCATGGATTAAACGAACACACACATAATGAAGTCACATGCGCACATACAAAAAACAAACACATGCCTACACACTCTCTGCAGTGCTGTTTAACTGCAGGTGCACACACACACACACACACTCACACACACACACACACACACACACTCACACACACACACACCGCAGTGTCGTTTAACTTCGCGTCCGTTGAGATTCCGTGGTTAACACACACACAAACATACCCACGCTGCAGTGTCGCTTAACTACATGTTAACTGCGGTGCTGTGGTTCACACACACACACACACTGCTGTGTGGTGTAGCTGTGTAGGTTGCGGTGCGGTGGTTTCCTGAGAGTGCTTTGCTTTTGTCCTTTTATGCACAGATGAATAGGCAGCTCTTCAGCTGTGATGAACAGCAGTGAGCCCTGCAGTCCCCCAGTGTGTGTATGTGTGTGTGTGTGTGTGTGTGTGAGAACTGGGAGAGTGAGTGAATGAACGAGAGATGAGCACAGAAACAACTGGGGGGGGGGTCAATTTCCACTTTCTTTACTTCCCACCACAGACAGACTTTAGCAAGACTATTGCAAACTATAGCATCTGGAACACTGAAGCTTCTACAGTGCAGTAGTCATAATGAACATTTACCAATACTAGCCTGACTATCAGTAGGGGCTGCATTAGCCAGCTAGCTAACTGGTCTAACCAGCTAACTCACTGGTTAGCTAGCTTGCTAACTCGTTAGATTAACAAAAGCAAGACGGCAGCTAACTTTGCTTTCCTGATGACTGCAAGATGCCTAAAAAGCCAGAAGTAACTACCAAAATAAAGAATATATGATAAATTTAACTTTACTATAATGTTGATAAGCCCATTTCTGCACAGTTACTCACAATGAAAGTCTATTTTTTTGGCTCAAAGAAAAACAAGAGTGATTAGCTGCACATTAGCCATATTTAGCCATAATAACACACGGCATCTAAAATGTTTCAGTGACTGAAGCAAAAAGGCCTCCTAACCTGATTTACCAGCAGTCGGTTTAAGAAATGAAACAGGGTTGATTTTATCTACACACTATCGAGCTAGCTAGGTGGCCAGTCTTGTTAGTTAGCTAACTAGCTAGCTAAATGAACACTAAAGACACTACATATATGTTAGGTATTCTGCTGGCTAGCTAACTCATTAGATGAACACTGGCAAGATGATAGATAGCTGGGGTTAATTTTAGCTACACATAGGCTAGCTAGCTAACTAGCAAGCTAAGTGAACACTAAAGGCACTAAACAAACAGAAAAGTTAGCTGGTTAGTAATCTAGCTAGTTTGCTAACTAACACATTAGATAAACATTAGCAAGATGATAGATAGCTGGGGTTCATTCTAACTACACATTAGCTAGCTAGCTAACAAGCTAGCTAACTGAATACTAAAGACACTAAACAAAGAGAAAAGTTAGCTGGCTAGTCATCTAACTAGTTTGCTAACTAACTCATTACATTAACATAAACAAGACAACAGCCAGCTCTGCTGCCGACTGCAATCGCTGCTGGTTGTCGCTACCAAAATAAGAGTAAAGAATATGATTTAACTGACAACCTTGTTATAACCTTGTTATAATGACATTTAACTTTGCTATTGTTGTGTTACATTTGTGCTTTCACAATTATTTGCACTGGAAATACATTTTTAGTTTAAAGAAAAGCTAAATTTATTAGCTACACAT